AACTAAGATTAACATACTATATACTACTACTATATCCTTAGTTATATTGTGGGTCAGTGAGTAGTTCTCCTATTACCTTATATTGTAGTTGTGTAGTATCATCAGTTACCTGTACTGGGTTTGGAGACGGGAATGATGGGACAGAATTTGAATGTGACGAGAATGATTGGCAGGATGAAATTTCAAGGGGGGTACGTACAGGGGGTTCATTTATAACAACTGAATGTCTATGTAAAGTTCCCAAGCGCCCTTCATATAAAACATCATTTATGGCTTTTTTAGCATAAATTTGCTGATCTGATGAGAGCTTCATGAACTCTAATGCCCAACTTTTTGCCAAAATCTCCACTTCCTTGTTAGAAGTGCGAAGATGTTCGCAAGCCATCTTCAATAGTTCATTCCGTGTTTGTGATTCCTCAAATTCAGTTGATCCTTTTCGTTTGTTAGCTCTACGTTGTATAGGAGTAGCCGGTACATCCATTTCTGAAAGTGTATATGTATCTGCGGCTGTATCTGTTTCTGGTGGTGTGGGCGATTCTGGAGCTGCATGCCTTCCTGGAGGTGTATTGGGTCCTTGACTACTTCTGTCTTGGGAAGAATCCTGCAACAAATAAAAGAGATATAGCATGCAGACATTTAAAATTACAAAAATAATTATAAAAATAATACCAACAAATAACACCATGCAAACTTCTAAAAATACAATTATAAAAATAACACCATGTTTTCTTTTCAGCTACCACAAAGTGAAAATGAATGGAGAAATGAGGCTGAAGCTTTTGCGAGGAAGTGGAATTTTCCTCATTGTCTTGGGGCGATAGACGGCAAACATGTGAAAATATTTAAGCCACCTGGAACTGGTTCATATTACTTTAATTACAAACATTCGTTTAGCATTGTTCTAATGGGAATCGTAAATGCAAATTATGAATTTTTGATGGTTGATGTGGGAGCAAATGGACGAGTCTCTGATGGAGGGGTTTTTTCCAATACAGCATTCTGTAAAAAACTTGTAGAAAAAGATCTGTGCATTCCTGAACCAGAAAATTTAACATCGACTAATATCAAATTGCCCTATGTTTTTGTAGGGGATGATGCTTTTCCACTTATGGAAAATTTGATGAAACCATTTAGCAAGAAAACCCTCAGCAACGAAGAATTGATTTATTACTACAGGGTGTCACGTAGCCGCCGAATCATTGAAAATGCGTTCGGGATACTAGCTTCTCGCTTCAGAATTCTGTTAAATGAAATTAACCTATGTCCAGAAAAAGCTGTCATCATAGTACTGACATGCTGCCACTTGCACAACTTCTTGCGACATTACAAAGTAGAGTCGTATTATCAAGGTGGCATAGATGTTGAAAACATATATAGTGGAGAGGTTGCAAATGCTGGTTGGAGAGCAGACCCTACATTATTACAACTACAGGCACTCCGAGGAAGAAACACTACCACTGTAGCAAAACAAATAAGAGCACAGTTTTGTAATTATTTTAATACTGTTGGAGCTGTTCCATGGCAGAACAAGATATTTCAGCAATAATTGTAAATTAATAATGTTAACTAGTTTTTTACCGATACTCCTATGAATACAGAATTAAAATATAAATTGTTTACTTACTGCGTCTTCATTATCAATCTCATAAAATGGGTCATTCATGGTAGAGGTTCCAGGTACTTGGGTTTCTTGATCCCTCAAGAAATCTAATTCCTTGAAGTACCATAAGCTTGGTTCGTAAATACTTTCAGTTCCTGTCCCTGATTTATAACTTGCAATTACTTTTTTTAATTCTCTCCGATAGGCACTGCGTAAAACATTAATTTTCTTCCGCACCATCTCTCTGTCGGCATTAGGTTCGACTTCTTTAAGTTTTTCAACTAGTTTTTCATAAGCCAAATTCTTCATATTTCTATTCTTGTAGAGATCGCTCTTCACCTTCCATACTGCCGGTAACTGACGATATAAATCAATAAAATCGCTTAAAAATTCTTTGTTATTTCCAAAACAACCGCTCATTTTCAAAACTAAGCACGTGGAACTCGGACAAACAATCAGTTATTGCACAACGTGTCTGCAGAATAGCCCATATACTCTGCAACTAGTTGCGCGAGCCGCTGGTTGTGCAATAAAAATCAAACTATTTTGAATTTCTGCAACCCGTTGCGCAGCACGTCAAACAACCCCATACACTACACCATTGTTGGTACAACAGGCTCCGTTGCGCAATTTGTTCGCAGGTGTATGGGGCCTATTAGAATAGCAAACAATCTCTGCTTTTGAGATATCGCCTCTCTCAATATTGTGTCTTTTTTTTGTATATATGGTGTTACCAGAGCCAATAATTCGCCGAAAGTAGTGGAATTCATTCGTAAATAATTTTTATAATCTAAAGGTGAGCTCACTTGAAGTTCTTTAAGGAGATTTGCGTGACTAAAAAGAGATCTTTTCTTTAACCACTCTTTCATCCAAACTCTCTGCTTCCGTTTTCTTTTATTAACGCCAACATCACAGGCTGCAGCAATTATTATAGCTAGACAGGCTGCGTCATTAGACGGCATGTTGAGGTGCATGAGTACAACTCACAACTGAAGTTTGCATAAAATTGCATAGTGTGTGGATCACCTTGTTTGTACAACCACTTTTTGTGCAACATCCGTTTGCGCAATTTGTTCGCAGGTGTATGGGGCCTATTAGGCAGATTTTTCACGGTCTTTGTCGGGAACAGTAGGTCAACGTGTGCTTGGTTCTCATACGTTGTTTTTATTTTTACATAGGTATTGTCTTTATCAAATATCATCTCGGCAACGTCAGAAATTGTTATGTCGTTCCCTTGTGCATCTTTCAGTCTTTTTTGTGAAGTAATGCGTTTCCAGTCTATTATAGAAGAATAATTGGTAACCTTCACGTTGTATGGTTTCGGTTTAGTTCTGGCATTGCGGAGTATCGTTGGCCATTCTGATGGAGCCTGTATAAACAAATTTTTCGATTTTCTTTCGATAGTAGCATGCATACTATCTACTGGCATGTACGTGTGACCTGAGACTAAGTATGTTATTGCCAGTTTCCTTATAGATTTTGAGATACTTATGAAGTACGCCAACATACAAATCATATACCTGTTTTTATTTTGTCCGGGACAGTTGTCACAAAATAAGTGCACGCTTGTTTTTTCTTCTTTCTGATCCAAATGTAACAGGTAGTCAAAAAGATGAGAACATATTTCATTCGCACCCCTTCTTCCATCTTTCTCGCCCCAGAAGTAACAAAACGCATTAGCAGTGACACTTTCATAAATTGTGAAGTTATAGCAAGCATATTTCCCCGAAAATCCTATCAACATACTTTTGCCATGAGGAGTAGTCAGTACTTTTTGTAGGTCAAAGCTAGCAATCAAATTAGCCGCGGCGCCTTGTGCCTTTATTTCCCTCTTCAATGCTTATAAGTTCTTCCTCCATAATTCGCGTTGTTTTCTGTACTAAATTCCAACACCTTACCTCAATAGTTAGCCGATCATACGTGTGCGCGCACCGAATCAGCTGATCCTGGATATAGGCTGTTTTGATCACAAAATCAGATATAGGCGGTTTTGATGCTAGAAACATTTTGAGCTTTTTTGTCTTTGAGGTTTTGATTTCGTAGTTCTATACTTGAATTGAACAGCTGTTTAATATACATAATGGAAAGGAAAACAAGGTTGATACCATTGAATTTGACGTTCAACGTGGCAAAAATTAGAACAAATTCTAATTTCGTGAAGAAATCCACGAAGAACTTTATGAATTTATTTGACGTCAAATTCCTGTGTACACTTTTGAAATTTGGCCATGAACTGAATTCAAGCATAAATCCGTGGATTTATTGTCAATGTAAAACGGGTATCAGGAAGTTCGAATTTTTTTCAATTTGGGCGTTTCTGATGTTTGCAGCAGGGATCGTAGAAAGAAGAATGCAGTTGTTCGACTTGTAAGGATAATAAGTATTATTCTCGGATATATAAGAGGACGAGAGGACGCTAAAAGTCAGAGAGGCAACAGTGTCGACGAATTTTATTTGGCATTTACGGTGGAAAAGTTTGTTCCATATGGAGTATAGAAGGAAAACGTTGATCTATCTTATTAGTATTTTGAAATATTGTTATATATCAAATATTTAAATTATATTATGATTTAAACAAAGTCTGCCTAAACGTATGTTATCAAGGCTACTAGATAACCGAGATGGGCGGTATATCCCTAATTTGGTTAGGAGGAAATGCCTACCATTTAGTTTAAATTGACATGAGCGTAAAATCTATATATAAGAAGACAGTTTTTTTTATCCAAAACGATTCGGAAGACAAATATTGCTAGAACCCAGATTAGAATAGCCGCAGTACAAGAATTTGCAGACGTTTATCCAGCTTGTCCAACTGGTTTAGGTGTGGTTGACTCACTATCTTGACTGAGCATCACAAAGTTGTCCGCTATTGGCGGTACCATTGTGATATTGGCAGATGGATCGGCTCCACAGCTCTTAGTGCTGCCGTTAGGTCTTCTAGGTCAGCTGTCTTTTTTTAAACGATCCAAAAAAATGTATTTCTTTTATAAAGCCTATCTCTCCTTTATTTTAATATATTGACTGCATTTCGCATGAAAATCTACATTTGATGAGAGGGAATATATTCCCTAGAAAGTTGTTCCAGAAACCGAGATGGGCGGTATATCCCTAATAGGCCCCATACACCTGCGAACAAATTGCGCAAACGGATGTTGCACAAAAAGTGGTTGTACAAACAAGGTGATCCACACACTATGCAATTTACTATGCAATTTTATGCAAACTTCAGTTGTGAGTTGTACTCATGCACCTCAACATGCCGTCTAATGACGCAGCCTGTCTAGCTATAATAATTGCTGCAGCCTGTGATGTTGGCGTTAATAAAAGAAAACGGAAGCAGAGAGTTTGGATGAAAGAGTGGTTAAAGAAAAGATCTCTTTTTAGTCACGCAAATCTCCTTAAAGAACTTCAAGTGAGTTCACCTTTAGATTATAAAAATTATTTACGAATGAATTCCACTACTTTCGGCGAATTATTGGCTCTGGTAACACCATATATACAAAAAAAAGACACAATATTGAGAGAGGCGATATCTCCCAAGCAGAGATTGTTTGCTACTCTAAGATATCTTGCATCTGGACTAACATTTGAGGGTTTAAAATTTGAAACTGCGATTGCTGCTCAAACCCTTGGACATATTATCATCGAGACCTGTGAAGCAATCATAAAGGTTTTGAAGAAATATTTAAAGGTAATAAATGTATTACTTTATTATTCTTTTTAACATAAACCAGAAACTAAGATTAACATACTATATACTACTACTATATCCTTAGTTATATTGTGGGTCAGTGAGTAGTTCTCCTATTACCGTATATTGTAGTTGTGTAGTATCATCAGTTACCTGTACTGGGTTTGGAGACGGGAATGATGGGACAGAATTTGAATGTGACGAGAATGATTGGCAGGATGAAATTTCAAGGGGGGTACGTACAGGGGGTTCATTTATAACAACTGAATGTCTATGTAAAGTTCCCAAGCGCCCTTCATATAAAACATCATTTATGGCTTTTTTAGCATAAATTTGCTGATCTGATGAGAGCTTCATGAACTCTAATGCCCAACTTTTTGCCAAAATCTCCACTTCCTTGTTAGAAGTGCGAAGATGTTCGCAAGCCATCTTCAATAGTTCATTCCGTGTTTGTGATTCCTCAAATTCAGTTGATCCTTTTCGTTTGTTAGCTCTACGTTGTATAGGAGTAGCCGGTACATCCATTTCTGAAAGTGTATATGTATCTGCGGCTGTATCTGTTTCTGGTGGTGTGGGCGATTCTGGAGCTGCATGCCTTCCTGGAGGTGTATTGGGGTCCTTGACTACTTCTGTCTTGGGAAGAATCCTGCAACAAATAAAAGAGATATAGCATGCAGACATTTAAAATTACAAAAATAATTATAAAAATAATACCAACAAATAACACCATGCAAACTTCTAAAATACAATTATAAAAATAACACCATGTTTTCTTTTCAGCTACCACAAAGTGAAAATGAATGGAGAAATGAGGCTGAAGCTTTTGCGAGGAAGTGGAATTTTCCTCATTGTCTTGGGGCGATAGACGGCAAACATGTGAAAATATTTAAGCCACCTGGAACTGGTTCATATTACTTTAATTACAAACATTCGTTTAGCATTGTTCTAATGGGAATCGTAAATGCAAATTATGAATTTTTGATGGTTGATGTGGGAGCAAATGGACGAGTCTCTGATGGAGGGGTTTTTTCCAATACAGCATTCTGTAAAAAACTTGTAGAAAAAGATCTGTGCATTCCTGAACCAGAAAATTTAACATCGACTAATATCAAATTGCCCTATGTTTTTGTAGGGGATGATGCTTTTCCACTTATGGAAAATTTGATGAAACCATTTAGCAAGAAAACCCTCAGCAACGAAGAAATGATTTATAACTACAGGGTGTCACGTAGCCGCCGAATCATTGAAAATGCGTTCGGGATACTAGCTTCTCGCTTCAGAATTCTGTTAAATGAAATTAACCTATGTCCAGAAAAAGCTGTCATCATAGTACTGACATGCTGCCACTTGCACAACTTCTTGCGACATTACAAAGTAGAGTCGTATTATCAAGGTGGCATAGATGTTGAAAACATAAATAGTGGAGAGGTTGCAAATGCTGATTGGAGAGCAGACCCTACATTATTACAACTACAGGCACTCCGAGGAAGAAACACTACCACTGTAGCAAAACAAATAAGAGCACAGTTTTGTAATTATTTTAATACTGTTGGAGCTGTTCCTTGGCAGAACAAGATATTTCAGCAATAATTGTAAATTAATAATGTTAACTAGTTTTTTACCGATACTCCTATGAATACAGAATTAAAATATAAATTGTTTACTTACTGCGTCTTCATTATCAATCTCATAAAATGGGTCATTCATGGTAGAGGTTCCAGGTACTTGGGTTTCTTGATCCCTCAAGAAATCTAATTCCTTGAAGTACCATAAGCTTGGTTCGTAAATACTTTCAGTTCCTGTCCCTGATTTATAACTTGCAATTACTTTTTTTAATTCTCTCCGATAGGCAATGCGTAAAACATTAATTTTCTTCCGCACCATCTCTCTGTCGGCATTAGGTTCGACTTCTTTAAGTTTTTCAACTAGTTTTTCATAAGCCAAATTCTTCATATTTCTATTCTTGTAGAGATCGCTCTTCACCTTCCATACTGCCGGTAACTGACGATATAAATCAATAAAATCGCTTAAAAATTCTTTGTTATTTCCAAAACAACCGCTCATTTTCAAAACTAAGCACGTGGAACTCGGACAAACAATCAGTTATTGCACAACGTGTCTGCAGAATAGCCCATATACTCTGCAACTAGTTGCGCAACGCCGCTGGTTGTGCAATAAAAATCAAACTATTTTGAATTTCTGCAACCCGTTGCGCAGCACGTCAAACAACCCCATACACTACACAATTGTTGGTACAACAGGCTCCGTTGCGCAATTTGTTCGCAGGTGTATGGGGCCTATTAGAGTAGCAAACAATCTCTGCTTGGGAGATATCGCCTCTCTCAATATTGTGTCTTTTTTTTGTATATATGGTGTTACCAGAGCCAATAATTCGCCGAAAGTAGTGGAATTCATTCGTAAATAATTTTTATAATCTAAAGGTGAACTCACTTGAAGTTCTTTAAGGAGATTTGCGTGACTAAAAAGAGATCTTTTCTTTAACCACTCTTTCATCCAAACTCTCTGCTTCCGTTTTCTTTTATTAACGCCAACATCACAGGCTGCAGCAATTATTATAGCTAGACAGGCTGCGTCATTAGACGGCATGTTGAGGTGCATGAGTACAACTCACAACTGAAGTTTGCATAAAATTGCATAGTAAATTGCATAGTGTGTGGATCACCTTGTTTGTACAACCACTTTTTGTGCAACATCCGTTTGCGCAATTTGTTCGCAGGTGTATGGGGCCTATTAGGCAGATTTTTCACAGTCTTTGTCGGGAACAGTAGGTCAACGTGTGCTTGGTTCTCATACGTTGTTTTTATTTTTACATAGGTATTGTCTTTATCAAATATCATCTCGGCAACGTCAGAAATTGTTATGTCGTTCCCTTGTGCATCTTTCAGTCTTTTTTGTGAAGTAATGCGTTTCCAGTCTATTATAGAAGAATAATTGGTAACCTTCACGTTGTATGGTTTCGGTTTAGTTCTGGCATTGCGGAGTATCGTTGGCCATTCTGATGGAGCCTGTATAAACAAATTTTTCGATTTTCTTTCGATAGTAGCTTGCATACTATCTACTGGCATGTACGTGTGACCTGAGACTAAGTATGTTATTGTCAGTTTCCTTATAGATTTTGAGATACTTATGAAGTACGCCAACATACAAATCATATACCTGTTTTTATTTTGTCCGGGACAGTTGTCACAAAATAAGTGCACGCTTGTTTTTTCTTCTTTCTGATCCAAATGTAACAGGTAGTCAAAAAGGTGAGAACATATTTCATTCGCACCCCTTCTTCCATCTTTCTCGCCCCAGAAGTAACAAAACGCATTAGCAGTGACACTTTCATAAATTGTGAAGTTATAGCAAGCATATTTCCTCGAAAATCCTATCAACATACTTTTGCCATGAGGAGTAGTCAGTACTTTTTGTAGGTCAAAGCTAGCAATCAAATTAGCCGAATCATGGTTGTCTTTCTGTTTTTCTAGAAAATATTTTTTCGCACTTTCTTTTTTTTTAATATGTCTTAGAAAGTCGAGTTCTTCTTTGCCATTCTTTAAGTTACTTGGTAAATGTCTGTAACGCTCGCATTTAATGCATTTATCTTTTTTTGGCACATGTATTCCTATGTTGTATTCTTTCTTTATGATTCTTTTAAAACTAGAAATGCTCATTTTATCAGTATTTTGATGAGAGTACATTTCATACAAGTTAGTAAACGTCTTTATATCAGAAGGTAGATAAAGCTTTTTAGTTGAGCCTCTACAATAATGTGACGGTACAGCTGGTAGTCCTTTGATAAACTGTTCAAGAAACATTTTTTGAGATGCTGTAATACTATGTCTAGGATTATGCTTGCCTCTACCATCGGTTATAGCTTGTATTTTCCCTAATATTGTATTCCTGATAATTCTTTGCGTGATTCCAAGCGTAGCTATAAAAAATTGTTGACATACCTTAACTTGAGTATTCCCCTTCATGAGGTACTGTTCATATGTAAACGTTCTTCTTGATGTAATCTCCAAAGTTCGTTTTCGTTTAACATAATCTATCTTGACGCATCCATTTATATAAGCTTTTTGAAGATTTCCATCACCCATTGCCCAGAAAGCATCAAATAATGCATGCCTTTCATCAAGACTGAAATCATTACAACTATTTTTGCATTTTTTACCAAAACATGGATTTGGTAGTAGTACTTTGGGGGGTTTGGTAATTCCTTTGTAGGTTTTGTACTGTAAGCCATGAGCCTTCTTTTTTTTATTTTTCAGCTTACGACTTGGTCCTTTTCTTCCTTTTCCATGTCTCAGATGATGTACTGCTAGATGAAGATGATGCTGATGATTCACGGTGATCTTGGTTTGGAGATTCATCGATTGCTGATTCACATCCAGATTCTGATGAGCTGCTACTATATGGTACAGTTTTTTTGTGGTAATGCGCTCATTATTCTGTGTCAGATCCTCTGGTACCTCTAGTTGCTCACATTCCAGAAAAGCAGGGTCAGGAATTCTTCAATATAGATAGCGCCTTCGGTCATGATTTCATGTTCGGTGGTCGTATATTCGATGGATGTATTTTCAGTTATGTTTCCTGAGCTGCTTTGAAATATGATGTCGAAGTTAATGCCTCGTTGATCATATTGTCTTCCAGGTAACTTTGATCAGTTTCATCCTCCAGCGCCATGCTCACAATTCGTTTTCCGCGGCTAGACATTCTGAAAAAAAACACTTGCGTAAGCGCCACATGTGAATGAATTTTAAAGTTGATTTGCAAATTAAATAAACCGTTTTTATAAAATCCAGCAATCACTTTATTTCAAGTATTACTCATATTCATGCTATTTGATTCAATATAACTAAATACCTTCATCAGTATCAAGCAAAGTGAAAATAAAGGTTACATAGCGTTATGACGCTTACGCGTTTGTACTTGAACAGACTGAATGCGTAAGCGCCACATCTTTGTGATCATTATTTACAGTTACAGAATCATACTAAATGCTTTAGGATGTTGCAACAACCACTAGATACCTATATAAACCAAAATATTCCGAAAACCTTATATAAACTTACCTGTATCAGGGCTGGAGGTTGAGAGCACGTGCTGCATAAGCGCCAACTTGACCTGAGTATTTTGAGGTTATGGCTGGTGCATTGTCGCTTACACATACTTAATTGCGAATATCTTGGTAACGGCTGATCTGTCGTTTACGAGACCACCGGCAATCGACGCGGCGTGTTTTCTTCTATGAGTAAACATGAAAATCCCAATTTCCGAATTTTGGCGCATACGTCGTTTTGTCAGATCGTCATCGATATATTCAGTAACGTTCAAAGTCTCTATGCTAGCGGTTATTTGATAACTGACTATTCTACCTCGGAATGCACTTCGACATACTGACACATTATTTTGTAAAGGTCTCCATAGATGTGCCTTATGTTTAATGCTTTTCAGATGTGCCGCATGTGCATTCCTCGATACCTCACAGCTGCAACTCTCACAGCGAATTGTCCTGCTACCCGCACTCACTGGTGAATCGTTGCCGGTGGTTGAACTCCTTCGACTTGCGCCCGGCACTGCGACGTCGGATGGTGTAGGACTCATTCGACTGGTTCCAGGCACTGCGACGGGGGGTGTTGCAGGGTTCACTCGTCTAATGTTGACACCTGCGGCTGTCTGGATGATGAAATCTGCAATAGTTGGCTCATTGTTAGTAATCTCACCCCCTCCATACGTTGTTGCTTGGAAGGTCTTTTCTCGCTTATGCGGGCCTCTCTAAGATGTCGCAGTAAATTATGGCGTGCTGAGAAGGTGTGCTGCCATCGAGAACATTGCAACTTGTCTGCAGTGCGGCGCGAAGAGGATGCATTACTGTCCTCGAGACTTGGGGATTGGGGAATGCTGGAGGTACCACCTTCCTGGTTAAAGGATGCTGAAACAGATAATTCTGTTAGTGATTTTATTATTTTTTTTATTTCTAATTGTTCAATACCTGTTCCATCTCGAAGACAGATGCGCTTCGATGCTGGCTCACCGTCTTGGCTGCACCGCTCTCTACCGTGCTTCAACAAATTTTTTCTCGCCGTGAAGGTCCTTTCGCACTTTAGACATTGGAACATCGTGAAGCGTGTACGTATTTACTCTGTTCCTGAAACAAAATCATTATATATATATATATATATACATTTTCGGCTGCGCTTAGCGTTATCCAGTGTGGCCACGAAGAGGCGGCAGCCACCACACCATCTTCTGGATCTGCTTACGTCGCATCTGAAACAAAAAAATATTTTAGCTGCTGTACGTTGTTTTGAACCCTTTGCATGTTTTTTTTTTGTCACACCTCTACATGTCTACCGGTATGTAGTACCTTAACATCAGCAGATCCAGCGCCTCAATATGCACATTCTGTAGTTGATGCCCATTGCGAAACCAGTTCATCCCTCTTAACTTAACTGTCTTAACTGTCCCTTCACTGTCTAGCCCCCTCCTCATTCGCAGCCCGTTCGAGTTGCGTGAGCGGCAATTCTTCGATCCACGTATCCCGATTTAGTTCCATCGCGATCTGTTGAAGTTGTGCCAACGGTTCTCTCAACTCGACGTCGCGCGCACACGCGGCCC